TTTTTTCTCTCAACCACACGCCACAATCCACAAAGAATACTGTTTTCACCCTGTAGAAAAGCTGCTGGCACATCTTTGTTTTCCCTCGTGTCGGAAGAAGATTGACTGATGAGTTCCAACATATTCAAATGTTGCTTTTCGGCCACTGATACTTTGAACCCAGTTTCCTTCTCAATATGTTCCTCGCACCGTCTCAAAAGGGACTCTTTATCACTCAAGCCTTCCAAATCATCGTTGATTCGCACACCGTCGAAATGAAGAGAGAGATGCTTTGGTTTCCTTGACATCAAGAATTCGATCCAAGTCTCTAGGACCCAATCCCTTGTTGCTTGCTTGACGAAGACCCACAAAGTCATCTGGCAGCACAGAACACGCAATCCAGCGCAAATAAATGGATAACCTCCGCAGGTCCTCCCAAACTTCACCGTTTTCCAATGCAATATGTGGCGAACCGCCGTTTAAAATCATATTGAGCAAATGCTTCCCAGGGGATAGCTTTATATCAATCCACTTCAGCCCGCAAAGGTGAAGTCTATATCGGCCCGCGAAGGGGGTAGCTTCAATTGATTCCATTTCAGCCCGCAAAGGGAAAATGTTGCTCAGCCCGTGAAGGGGGATTCTATTTCAGCCTGCGAAGGGGAATTTATCTTCGCCCGCGAAGGGGATAGCTTCTTTTAATTTCATGTCAACCCCCAAAGGGGAGATATTGCTCAGCCCGCGAAGGGGAATTTTATCTCAGCCCGCGAAGGGGATAGCTTCATTTGATTACATTTCAGCCCGCAAAGGGGAAATGTTGTATCAGCCCGCAAAGTGGAATTTTATTTCAGCCCGCGAAGGGGATAGCTTTTTTACTTTCATTTTAACCCCCAAAGGGGAGATATTGCTCAGCCCTTCAGGTTTCAAGGTTTCCAGGTTTTTTAGAACTTCAAAAAAAAACAAAAACGAATATTTAGTTTTTTAGTTTTGCGGCCTTTTAGTTTTGCGGCCTCTTTAAAAAACAAAAAAAACTAAAAAACCTAAATATTTAGTTGTTTTAATTTGCGGCCTTAGAAAAAGAAACTAAAAAAACTAAAAAAAACTAAATCCTTTAGGTTTCAAGGTTTTTCAAGGTTTCCAGGTATTTAGAAATTCTAAAAAAACTAAAAAATAAATCCTTTAGGTTTCAAGGTTTCCAGGTAATTAGAAATTCTAAAAAGACTAAAAAAACTAAACAAACTAAATATTTAGTTTTTTTCGTTTTGCGGCCCTAAAAAAATAAAAAGACTAAAAAAACTAAATCCTTCAGGTTTCAAGGTTTCCTGGTATTTAGAAATTCTAAAACTACTAAAAAAAATATACAAAAACTAAATATTTAGTGTTTTTAGTTTTGCGGCCTTTAAAAAAAACTAAAAAAACTAAATATTTAGTGGTTTTAGTTTTGCTGCCTTTAAAGAAAATAGAAAAAACTAAATATTTAGTTGTTTTAGTTTTGCGGCCTTTAAAAAAAACAAAAAGACTTAAAAAAATTACACCACCGTAGACCCCAAACAGTTTGTGTTTTTTCAAAACCAGAACACTCTGCAACTAGAGCTTGCGACGTCCAGAGCTGGGAGACAAAGGGTTGCAAGGCAGAGGCCCACAGCAGTCCAGAGACATGTAGACACAGGGAGACAAATGTAAAGGATTGCAAACGACATGCAGCCCAAAGCTGTGTGACAAATAAAGGATTGCAAGGCAGAGGCGGACACAACAGTCTAGAGCTGGGAGACAAATGTAAAATTAAGGATTACATGGCCAGCGGAAAAGGGAGACACATGAATAGAAATGCTACATGGCCAGCGGAAAAGCGTGGACACCAGCAGTGACACAAAGGGCGCACACATCTTGAGAAAGAATTGAGAACCCCTACGGCAAACTGTTTGGGAAAAAGAGGAAACAGAAGGGAGACAAAACGGACACAATGACCAACAAGAAGGAAGACAAAAGGAAACAAAAAGGAGACAAGACGGACACAGTGACCAACAACAAGGGGGACAAGACCAGAGACAAAAAGAAACAGAAGGAACACAAGGGGGACACAATGACCAACAAGGAGGGAGACAAAAGGAAACAGAAGGGAAGACGGACACAATGACCCACAAGAAGGGAAACAAGACCGGAGACAAAGAAAGAATGGAGACAAGGCGGACACAGTGACCAACAAGAAGGTGGACACAGTGACCAAGAAGGGGGGCGGAAGGCAGACACGCTGTCCGGCAGCAAGGCGGACACTCTTAGAAAGCATTTAAGACCCCTAACAGTAATTTGTTTGGGGAAGTACAGAAATCACCTGGGAGACAAATGAATAGAAATGCTGGAAAGGGGAAAAGGGCGGATGCCAGCAGTGCAGGCACCGAACCTGGAAAACAAAAGTAAACAAGCCACATGGGAAACAAATGAATAGAAATGCTGCAAGGCACCGAACCTGGGAGACAAAAGTAAAGAAATCACTTTAAAGACAAACGAATTGAAATGCGGCAATCTGTTTGGGGAATGAATAGAAATGTTGCATCGCCGGCGGAAAAGGGCGGACACCAGCAGTGACACACCTCGGAGACAAATGAACAGAAATGCTACATGGCCAACGGAAAAGGAAATAGAATAAATGCTACATGGCCCGCGGAAAAGGGCGGACACCAGCAGCGACAGACCTGGGAGACAAATGAACAGAAATGCTACATGGCCAGCGGAGAAGGGCGGACACCAGCAGTGACAGACCTGGGAGACAAATGAATAGAAATGCTACCTGGCCAACGGAAAAGGGCCGACACCAGCAGTGACACAAAGGGCGGACACATCTTAAGAAAGAATCACACCAACGTAGACCCCAAACAGGTGGGACAACAACGAAGCATTCCCAAGTCCACTTTTTGAGACATCAACAAGAAGGGAGACAAGAAGGGAGACAAAAGGAAACAGAAGGGAGACAAGACGGACACAGTGACCAACAAGAAGGGAGACAAGACCGGAGACAAAGGGAGACAAGAAGGAAGACAAGGCGGACAAGACCGGAGACGAAGGGAGACAAGAAGGAAGACAAGGCGGACACAATGAGGCCAGAGCACTCAGAGCATCCAGAGCTTACTGGGAGACAAGTGGGA